GTCAAAAAGCAAGCACTTATCACTAAATCAACAAAATCTAAACATTTCAGCAAAATCAGGCAGCAAAACGCTCTTATTCTGAAATACTCCCTGTGGGCTCTGCAGATCTTATATACAGGCTATGATCAGAACAAAAGCGGATCACATACCGCTGTGAAGAAGCTAGTAGAAGAAAAAAGTCATTAACATGGGCAGGCTGCACGCTCCGCTGCTGAAATACTAGGCTTCCAGTGGTAGTTGAGGACGGAACTAAACCGGCGCACAGCCGCCTGTGTGAGGCCTGGGTGAGCAGCCTAAGAATTCCCATGATGATTGCCGGTGAAGGAAGTTTCTGCGTGTCTGTTTAGAATATAGTGTTTTTTGTTGGTAATTGTCATTCTTGTGGTGTTTTTTTTTTAGATAGGCTACAGTCTGTTGGTTTACTAATGAAACCAGGAGTGAAGTGCCTGTTTCATTTGATAAGACGGCTGCACTAATCACTGACCAGCGAACCGAAATCGATTCTCTTGTGTAGTTGTGTCTATTAGCATATGACAACCCATTTGTGGCAATACATGGATCCCCCACTCAGTTGGGGTTCTGGGTCGGCTGACCCCATGCACACATGCTTTCTGGCTTATGTGTGGATGATAATATCTGAAGTTATTGCCACCACTCAGTGATATGTTATTGATATATAGAATTAAATGTCTGTGAAGATTCTCAGTCATCCAGGTCATAGTTATCCAAAGAAGGTTAAAGTCAAGGCCAACTGAACTTGGTTGAAGATACTGGAAGACGTTTCGTCCCTCATCCAAAGGACTTCTTCAGTTCTGACTGACTGGTAGGGAAACTCAGCTATTTAACCTCAGTGGGGTCGTTTGCCAGGATCATCAATACCGCTGGTTCATTAGTGTTCCTGGTTGTTGTAACGACAGTCGTTATGGTCATTAGGACTACCGGAGGCCAAGACTGAACCACCATGTTGGTATCTTCACCTGAGGCCAATAGGTTTCATTTGTTTGCTCACCTTTTTCAAATGAACTAAATATTTTTCTTTAGGCTGTAATTAATTCTGTACTGTTTTCTATTTGAATCTACTCATATTAAATGGATAACTATTAAGGGTCTCATTTAATTAATATTTACTCATTACCAAACATTGTGAAATTTAATTAATAATATTGCTTTTAATATGTTGCCTCGTTTTTATTGAGTAATTATGGTGTATCTTTTCTTACAGAGTACAGTAATTATAATCATGCTCTTGCAGCACGTTGTGCCTCTACTCAGGAGCTGAAATCAGGCGGCAAGTTCCTCCCTTCTTTGCAGATTTCCTCCCTTCTGCCTCTGCATCTTCTGGTGGGCTCAAACACAGCTTATTAGTAGTAGTATTCATGTAAAATATATGAAATGTAAAATGTAGTAGTAGTAGTATTATGTTAGTAACATAAATGACCACCTGGGGGAGCTAGCTAGATGGCAACAAAAAAAAAGTTAAAACTTATTTGGGTCAAGGCAATCATTGCCAGTAGTCTTCCTATGCAAATTTGTTGTCTTCAGTGTCTTCACATTGCTGCTGTAATATGAAGAAATATGCCAGGCTATTACCTACAAAGCTCTTAATGGTCAGGCACCATCTTATCTTAAAGAGCTCATAGTACCTTACTACCCCACCAGAGCACTGCGCTCCCAGAATGCAGGGTTACTTGTGGTTCCTAGAGTCTCCAAAAGTAGACTAGGAGCCAGAGCGTTCAGCTATCAACTCCTCTCCTGTGGAACCAGGTTCCAGTTTGGGTTCAGGAGGCAGACACCATCTCTTTGATAAAGCTTATAGTTAGGGCTGGCTCAGGTAGTCCTGAACCATCCCTTAGTTGTGCTGCTATAGGCCTAGACTGCCGGGGGATTTCCCATGATGCACTGAGCTCCTCTCTCCTCTACTTTCTCTCCCTCTGTATGCAACCTCATACCATTATTGCATGTTACTAACACAACTTCTCCCCTTTCTGGTAGTCTTGTGCTTTCTCGTCTCTCCTCTCTCCTCCTATCACTTCTTGCAGGTGTTTCTGGCTCTGGAGCTGTGGAGTCTGGATCTGTGGCTGCGGGTTACCTGCTGCCCCCGTGTTCCTGCTCGACACCCTCTGCTGCAACGACTATTGTTACTAGTCCTATTATTATTATTGTTATTATAATCATTAACATTGCGATTATTATCATTAACACTATTATAAATATCTGTACCATTTTTCATTTAGTCTATAGCAACATCACCTTTACTGTCTGTACCTCTGTGTGTATATTGTGTAGGCTGCCTCCCTCCCCTCTCTCTCTCCTTCCATCCCTCTCTTTTTCTCTCTGTTCCTCTCTTGCCCCCCCCCTCACCCCCCAAACCGGTCGAGGCAGATGGCCGCCCACCCTGAGCCATGGTTCTGCTCGAGGTTTCTGCCTCTTAAAAGGAAGTTTTTCCTTGCCTCTGTCGCCTAGTGCTGCTCTTGGTGGGAACTGTTGGGCTTCTGTAAATAGCATCACAGAGTACGGTCTAGACCTGCTCTTTATGAAAAGCGCTGTGAGATAACTGTTGTTGTGATTTGGCGCTATATAAATAAAATTGAATTGAATTAAAAGCGGTCAAGGACAACATAATATGAATATTAACTAATAATAATCTGCAAATGGTTTATTCATAATATAACGGGATAATCTCTAAGTAATTTGCATAATAATAATCTCTTTAGGAATGATACCGCACATCTTGTCATATATATATATAGAAATAGAAGAAGTTATAGAAATGGAGGTTTTGTTATGGCATCAGTTTTTGTTTCAGTTTATTTATTTCAGTAAATGTTCACAGTAGCAGTGTGTATCCGAAGTGTTAACATTACCAGGGTAACGCATGGAGAAAGTGATGTAGGAGGGTGTTCCAAGAATCTTGGTGAGGGAAGTTTTGACACTCCCTGACGAGGGAGTAGCGAGTACTGTTTATGTACACTGTGGAACGAAATGCAGCCAAAGTCTCCATTTTATTTCAGCGGACATAGACATAATAATGCATGAATATGCAGACTGTGCACATTTATCTTTAAAAACTGACTGAGTCTATAAGTTCATACAGTAGTTTTATTCAGTGTTCTCCGTTACTTCATAATTTTCCTAACTAACATTTCCTTATTGGATGATAAAGTGGTGGAATCTGAATGTGTATTATACTGTTGCCCATTATATTTAAATATATTTGTTAAGCTTTGAACTGATGGGATAAAATACAGGGGTAGCAACTGAAGATGAAACATTCAGTTGAAGACATAAAAAACACAAATAAAAGACACAGACACATAATCTAATCCAGTGATGATGTGTTTGTTGATATGCCCTTGAAAAGGCATCGAGGTTAAAATAGATCTAAAATTTTTGACATCTACAGGTACATTTGAAATTATTTGAAAAAAAAGTTATTTGAGCTGCAACTGTAAGTCTAGGCATTCATCAAAATTCCATCAGGTTTCAAATCCAAATTTAATTCTTGTAAAAATATGAATTGTCACATACATCATACTAGCTACAGAAATGCACCTGATGCACGTATCTGGATCTTGGCTCAACAGCATTCAATGGCTTTATTTCAGCTACTTCAACAAATGTAGTAAATTCAAAGTCAGTTTAATGGTGTTAAAACACTGTCAGATTATGCACAGCCTATTTTTAAAAAACTCACTTTCTAACTGCATTCTGCAGCTTCATGTGCACTATGATACGGACCAAAAGAGGAAATGAAACAGTGAGTCTCACCCAGCCAGTTGTAATGTGAGAAAACAACTGCAGAGAGAAACAGACTTATTTCTTTGCAGTGATGCCAGAAGCTTTGAAGTGGACGGTAGACAAGAGGACAAGAGGACAAGAGGACAGCTGCTGGAAGGGTGATGTTCTCTCATTACAGTGGTGATTATATGTAAATGATGTTCCCCTTGCCCCTCCCCTCAGACCCCTCCTCGCCAAAACACTCACAGAAAGTTGAAACTTAAAACCAGTGACAGTGAAAAAATCTGACAGCGTAAAAAACCTACCACTTATAACATGAACATAATGAAGAATAATTATAAAATGTGTTTTATTTTTCAGTGAAAGTTTTTTCAGTACCAACACAACTTTCTGAAATACAAATGTTTCAGTGCCAATGTTATCTTTTTCAGTTCCGATTTTGTTTTCAATCCAAAAAGAAATTTTTGATGCCAAATTTTGTGTCAACACTCTAGCCCTTAGTTAAAGCACTTAGTAAAAATGTTAAGTGCTTACTGCAAGACAAATAAAGTTGTATGTCTATTATAACCTTCTTCCAATGAAAGTTAGTTTTGAATAATCAAGTAGTTTCCGTGGTCTAACCTTAACCAAACCTTCTCAGGTGGGAAGAAATTAATTTAATAAGTATTTTTTAGGAACAATAACCTTTCACTTTCTGCGCTTTTACTCTTTACTCAAGCATTTTTTGAACTAGTAATCTACTTTAACTTGGCTATATTTGCCATTCCTACTTCCTTAGAACCAGTCATTAAAGAATTGAGCTGCCATCCCAGCTGTAAGAGCAGTTAAGTAGGAGAGCTTTAACTTGATGTATGCCGTACAAAGAGACATGCACTTATGCCAGATATTAATAAGCTGGGCAGATGCAAAAATTTAGAAAATCAGGTAGGGGAGAGGGGGGTGAATTGAGACAGTTTGTTCCTTGAGTACATTCAAATGTGTTCAACTAAAATGTGTACATATATTTCAGGATGTGGTGTATCCCTGGAAATATTGGATCTAAAATAAACAGTTTTAAAAATATAAAAGAAGTGGTAACACTTATTTTTTTTAGATATTGACCCCCATCAGCCACAGTCATGACAGCATGCCCAATTAAGATTTATGGGCATGGTAACAGAGACCAAGATTGTGGGTCATATGAATGTGCATCTCAGTAGATAGGTTAAATCAAAAAAAGTCAGATGATCACTGGATTGATTCAACATTTTAACAGAATTCTCTTGTTGTGCAGAGCATGGCTTTATTTTGGAAATTAGTCTATTCTTTAATTCACTGGTTGCTAGTTTTATCATGATGCCTGACAGTGAACCTTATTAAATAGAATGTTGCCGGTGAAACTGATATTGGCTTTTACTCAGTAGGTTACCAGCTGTAATTTATTTAGCAAACAATTATTTTTGAAAAGCACCGGAAAAGCGTATATAGGCTTAGGAAAAATAATGAAACACCCATCACTGTTTACAGTCGTCAGTAACTTGTTGTGAAGAAAAACTTGCCTCTGTGGTTCAAACATGAGTTCCCACTTCTTCTTTTTTGTACAGTGCACTGCCAACTCACCCAACCACAGAGATTTGTTTCTGTGATGTGCAGTTCCTCCCTGCTTACCAAAGCTGCATTGCTGACTGAGACACATGTAATTCTACATCAAATTTCACTGTATGGTATTTCACATTTGCATGTGGTAAAACAGCAGTATCAGCAGTCCCAATCAACACCTCATCAACCTGAAGACATCAAATTTCAGCTGTTAACCCAGCTGTCCAGGTCCTGATAGACTCTATTCGCTGGTAAACTGGAGTACTTAACACAGATGTGACAAAGCCTTTCTCTCCAGTCAGTGATGGTTTTAATTCTGTGGGTGCTGCGCCACTGGAAGTACTCCTCATAGGCCTGCCGGTCTGCAGCCACATGCTTCAGATAGGCTGCCAGGTCTGCTGTGCTCTTGAAATCAGAGACATGGATAAAGGAACCAGGGGGAGCCAGTGCCTCATACGTGGCCCTGCTGGGTCCGAGTACCACTGGCACGGCCCCTGCTTGGAAAGCGTTTCTCCAGAGCTTCTCGCTGATATAGTCTGTCGTCTCAGAGTTCTCAAAAGACAGGTAAAAAAGACACTTTGCAATGGTGGGCAACAGCTCTTTGTCTGACAGGGGTTTTTTGTTCCACTTGCCGTACACCTCTATGGGTATATACTTCTTCAGACTTTGGTAAACAACAGCCCGAGCCTGGTGAGGCCGATATCTGCTGACCACCCAGCTGACAAAACAGGAGCGATTTAGAGGAGCCTGAAAGCCTAGTCCATCACCTCCTAGCATGGTCTTTCCATAAGGGATAGATATGTCTGCATCACGTCTGTAGCTCATCGTCCAGTTGAAGAGGCCGTTCAGCTGTGTGAGGTTCGCATTGTTGATAGGAGGCTCCATTGACAACCACACCCAGTGCTGGGAGGCGGGGCGATGCTGGTGCAGGGGCATTGAGGACAGACCTCTGCTCAGCTCCTGGTGGTGGAAGACAACCACATCGGCCGTAGAGAAAGAAGAGATGTTATGAGTAAGGAAACATCGGCTGATGTTGTACATCTCGAGGCATTTGTTCCCGTCAAGCTGGTATGAGCGGCCGAACGGCCAGTGCCAAAGCAGGATGCTGATGTTTCTCTGAGGAACATCTAGATGATATTTCTGCAGACAGAGCTTCTCATTCAATAAGATGTAATAAAGCAGGGATGAGAGGGAGCCGAGGAGGAGGAGGACAATGACAAAGGCTCGGGATCCAGATGTTGTCATGGCTGCCAGGTGTTTTCCAGGTCAAAAGGGCACAGATTCCGGATATGTAACTCCTAGAAAGGAAGGAAGGGTAGATCAGAGATATTACTTTGCTTTCATACATTCTCATCAGTGCAGGAACTGCAGAGGGCAAGGTGATAAAAATGAAAAAATGTCCTACTGCAGAAGACATTTAATTCTGTTTTATTACAAGTGAGCTTTAGAAATGTAACATACACAAATAAAATACTCTAAGAAGAGTGAAGTAATCATTGAGATTTTTTTGTTTGTTTGTTTGTTTTTTTACAAAGGATTAAAGCTCTGGTCGAACATTTTATGAAAACCATACCTCTGTCTGTCTTCCCCTGTGTTCAGTGTTTTCAATAAGAACAGTGTGTTCTGCTTCTGATGGAGGATTTCATCAGTATTGCACAGCATTGCTTGTAACTGCTCAAAAAAAAATGTTAAAGATTTATGCTTAAATAAAACTAGTTTGCAGGTGACTGATCAAAGTCATTTATATGACAAACCACAAATATTTATCTGTATGCTTTAATAATAATAACTTCTGATAAGAATACTTTTATAACTTTTTTGTGTGGGTTGATGATGACGCATCTTGTGAAATATTAATGTCAAAAAAAGGTTTTCTAAAGATGGCCCCTATAGCTGGATACACCACAAACTTTTTTTTTAAATCACATTTTAAGAGGAAAAAAAACTCAAATAAAAATCCTTATAAAACCCAATTTTTGTACAATTTCCATCACCCCAAGGACACATACAGTAGCATTCTGTACACGATGAATCAAAAGTAAAAACATCGATATCAGCTTAGCGAGTGGATTTTAATGAAATAAAAACTTGGTTGGCAGAGATGTTGCCACTTACCTTCTAACTGTTTTGTGTGGGTTGATGATGACGCATCTTGTGAAATGAGACTGGCAGAAAGATGTTTTCTAAAGATGGCACACCCTGATAGCCGGGTACACCACAAACTCAACATCATTTTAAGAATAGAACATTTTAACTGGAGAAAAACCCCAAATACCGTAACACCAGATTTTGGATTATCTTGGATGGAACAGTAGCAGTCTGTACACAATGAATCTGAAGTAAAAACATCAATATCAGCTTCCTGGGTGGATTTGAACGAAAACAAAAATTTGGCTGGCAGAGATGTTGGCACTTACCTGGGTGACATGATGACTGTCCAGAGAGCTTTGTCCTACTCAACACATCTTAGAATATAAAGGAAATCCTGCCCCCTCCTCAACCTTTTGACTCATCTCTCACTTGACACTTTATGCACACACACCCAGCTACTTGGTGGCAGGGTGTGACAGTTGTGCAACATCAGTCAGTTGCCAGCAGAACGAAACAAACGGCAACTAAGAGTCATTTATCGGTTAGGGTTACAGGTGGTGAAACCCCTGCCCATCGCCACAGACGCCTGCCACCGTGTCACTCTGCTTCACACTCATTTATGTACGTTTTAAAACTGCTCATGCATCTGCTGTTTGCAGAACTGGCACAGCCATCAGCTAGTGGTGATCAAAAAAATTACCTTTGCCAGTTTTAGATTTGTAACCCACAAGCTGGTCTTCCTCTTCCTGTTCTTGCAGCTCTGCAGAGGAAAGGGGCACAGGGTTACACAGCTCCTGTAGGCACAGACCACATCATAACTATTTCAACGAGCTGAGCCCTCAGCCCTCTCAGTTCACATTTGGTTTTTAATGAATAACCTGCAAAACCTGCTCCAACTGTACTGTTTTAACTCACAGTTTTGATTCAATTTGTTTCTTATGTACAATAACAAACCAAAATGATAACTTTGATGTGCATATTAGAACATTACAGTACCTGTCATTAGACCTGAAGTGGGTATTATGTCGTCATAAATCCACTGAGCACTCTTACACCATTCTAAACCTGACCTAACCTACCTAACTGCCTTTAAATCCTACATTCACACAAACAAATCACAGATACCCAGCTTGACCCAGCCTTATATCTACATTGCAGGAAGTCTCATCTGAATGTCATGGCCCACTTAGTTGTCCAACCAACCATCAAAATATGCAATATAACTGAGCTGAACTGTATTTTAATGTTGGTGCAGAGCGCAGAACTCTCACACTTGTCTTCCAGGGCATTACTGAGGTAACTTCCTCGACTGTGTCAGTTTGGTATTGTGGTAACTCAACAAGTGTCCCAGTGGGAGGAGAGGCACACTTGATGGCGTCGCCATCACCAGTGGCATCCTGCAATCTTGGTGTCAAGAATGCTCAGAGATAACTCAGCATCCTTTTAGTGACTTCATTTTGTGAGCATAAACCCATCTAAAGACAACAAATATCTTGTTAGTCCACCTGCAGTCTCTAACTGGAGTGATGCTGCACTCTGTCAAGCCACAATTACCCACGTCAGATCCAGTGGTTGCAGTTTGTTCAACCAGCAACAAACTGTTGTATATCAACCACAGAAACCTCCGTGCTTATGTGCACATCAAAGTTGTTGTTTTTATGAATTTTTCTACAGTTTCTACTCTAAATCAACAGGTGTATTGGAGACAGGCAAATTGAACACATTCTCATTAAAAATGTATTGAAAAATCAATTAAAACTTCTATCTCTGCTTATAACTCCCTCTGAGCCATCCATACCAGCCAGTCATCCCCAAAACACCAGGTAAACGGGGGACAATGATAGGGACCTCATGCAGGTGAGGTTCTTTGTTTGTGATCTGAACTTTTTTATGCGACTCATTGAACTCAGTTTCCCAGGACTCCCAACTCCTATAGCCTACAGACCCAGCTGCAGTCTTGATTGGTTGATGACCTGTGACCTCAGACACTTCATTCATAAAACCACACCAGAATCAGAATCAGTTTGATTGCCAGGTACATTTTCACATACAAGGAATTTGTATTCTGGATTTTGTATTTTTGTATGAGTAATGTACAATCCAGAGTCAAATTCCTCGTATGTGTACACATACCTGGCAATAAAGCTGATTCTGATTCTCATATGCAGGCAGCAAGTTAAAGTGGCTTCTACACCTTTTGTTCTTTGTGTGACCACATGTGCTCACACTCCTCCCACACCACACACACACACACTCACTCTGTCCTTATCAGACATGCAGATCTCTTTGTCTTGGTTCAATGCACTCTTTCACTCTTTGTCTTGTGTGTTTTTGCTTTGTTTACTGTTAAAGAAACGCTTGTGTACCGACATGCTGGTTTCTTTTTATATCGCGGAAGAATGAATATATTGCCAACCACTGCTGCGTAGAACTCCAAATCCTTCAACCCACTATCTAATAATGGTAATTTTGTGATAGTTGTGATTATTGACCTAAATTCCCGATGAATAATTTAGTATACAGTACATTGCTTATAATCAGGATTTTTGCTAATAAAACAGATTTGTTGGTGTGAGTAGTTGGTTCCTAAAGACAATTATCAGATTTTTTTTTTTTGTGAATCTTTACATTTGTGTTTTTAGCATGATTTGACTTCAGAAAAACCCCAGTGAAATATCAGAGTGAGTTTGATCAGGCAGAGAAGCCGCCCAGGCACAGAGCTGAAGGTTGGTGTGTTGAGACCATCTTGAGTAGACGGAATCCACGGTGGGGGCTCAGAAACGCAGAGCAGGGGAGGACCTGTGGATGCGCAGTCCTCCATGGTGCAGGCGTAGCTTAGGGAGGAAGAAAGTAAAAAAGGTTCAGTTTGCTTCCTCTGTAAGTAAAGATAGATTAATCTTTTTTTAAAGTACTATTTTGATTCTGTAGTTCATGACAATGGGGATAATTGGGAGGGCTAAAGCTGAAGTTATTATATGGGACTTAATGAGATTTTGCTCTAAGTACTGTGTGGCCCTATGTTTTGATTCTTAAAGATACCTGACAGAGTTTTTGTAAGTGGTATTTGGATTTAATGTGGGCCCTAAATCTGTGCAGTCCATCCAGACATAGTTGAATGAATTAAACCCAACAGCTTAACGTTGGCTGATTAGTCTGATAAACAGAATACAAGGTTGCCATTATTTGAAGATAACTTGATAAACAATCCCTCACCCATGTTTGCTTTGGTTGCTTCTCACAACAAAGGAAAAATAATAAGGTTTTGTAATTATAAGGAGAGGGATCTGTTTGAAGACCTACTTTGCTTGGCACCTAGATTAAGATAAGTTTCATGGTCCTCCACATCTGATAATAGCCAGTGTTCTGTTTAAAAGGGGTTTAATGTAAACTGGTCTGCAAACCGTCCCTGGTTTCAAAGCCTGACCAGCCCTCTGACTTGTGATCCAAAGCTTTGGCCTGTGACATTTGAGTTTGCAGTGTGACATTTTGAGACTCGATTTGAGTCCATAGAAGTTACTCATTTAAGGGAAGTAATAATGTTACGTTGGCTTCTTCTCTCAGTAGACTGAGAACCGTTCAGAAGGCCGCAGGACAAAATGCGTCACCTTAGGAGGCTGCCCCCCCCTGCTGGTGGGAATGAGTAGCAACGCCTAAAACTGCCATGAGAATTTATGGGAACTCACATCTAAAGGGAATAATACATAATAAATCAATATAAATGTGAACACACATTTAGTGGGTGTCACACGCTCCCGGACAAAAAATAAAATAAAATGGCTCATGACATTTAGAAAATTACATTTCCACCAATTTGGCTCACCACACTCAAATATTTACTCAAGGCCTAAGTATGTATGGTTCAATAGGCTACATTGGAGATTGTGTATGACCCCATTAAGTAAGGCAGTGGAAGGTATGGTAAGTGTGGGTAGAGGGTGTTAGGTGTGTAGTGTAGGTTGGGGGACACTGAACAAGTTGGCACTGACTGTACTGCATACAGTCCTGCAGTGTTCACTGATTGATATGAGGGCTGGCCAAGTGACTCATAAGTTAGTCTCTGTTATGGTCTCCTATTCCGTGTGGATATTCTTATTAGTTCATACTGAGGCGTCACAGGTCTACCATTACCATCTGGGATATGTCCATACTGGTGTTCTTCAGGTCCTTCACCATACATCTGTTGGTATCCATCAGTTTGTAACTGCTCTTGTGTGGCTTCACTTTCAGGAGCGATGACTTCAGGACATTCTGATGTAGGTGTCCTTAGTGGTGCAGTAACCTTCAACTGTTCACGACTGTTTACTGTGTTCCTCTGACGTTCATAGGAAAGCCCCACCTCTGGTGCCTGAAGTTTTGTCTGTCTTGGTACCCTCAACCAGTAATCTCTCTTTCAAGTTGCGGACCAATACTCTGTCACCTGGTTGGAGAATAACTCCTTTGATATGACGGTCATAATACTTTTTGCCTCTTGTGCTGGAGTGTTGGCTATTCTCGGCTGCAATTTGGTATGCTTCCTTCATTCTTTTGGCCCATTTTTCTGTATAGCCCTTAGCCGTTTCGGGCTCCTCTTTGGTGGACAAGCCAAACAGTTGCCCTTTTCTTTTTCTTCCAGTGTTCTTAGCATTTGGAGCAACATCCTGTTGAATCTCTCTGCTGGGTTGTCCTAAGGGTGGTACGGGGTTGTCCTAGAGTGGGCCACTCCAGCCAGCTGTCGCAGGGTCCCGAATAGGTCATTTTCAAATTCTCTTCCCTGGTCATGGTGTAATCTGCCCGGATACCCAAAGCGAGGGATGAAGTCATTAAATATCCTTTCGGCAGCCGTTTTGCCAGACTTGTTCTTCGTTGATTAGAGCTGAGATTCATAACCCCCCTTGCTGGCCTCCAAGTGCATGTAGTCAACTGACACTAGTTTGAGAGGTTGTGTGCAGAGGTTGTTATGCTCCCCATAGGTGCCCTGATATGCGTCACTGGTTTCTTTTGCTTGATGCAGGGGCACTTTCTGGTTACATAGATCTCGATGTCCCTCTTCATGAACAGCCAATAGAAACAATCTCGTGCTAGAGGGATGACTCTCTCTGTATCAAAACCATGTCATCATGCAGAAGCTTGAGGACCAGGAGATGGTATTGGATAGGAAGGACTAACTGCTGCCATTGACCCACATTGCGAAACAGTAGCTGGTTTTCAATATGTAGCCTTCACCATTCATGCATGAGCTTCCTCACAGGACCAGCAGCTCCCTTTCTGTCCGCACTTGCCAGCATGGTCTTTGAGTTCACCGATCAGCTCACCGATCACTGTATCTTGTCTTTGAGCTCTAACCAAGTTATTGTGGCTAATGGCAGGCAGTGGCACATCCATAGGTGGCTCGGAGCACTGTGAGAGGTTGAGAACAGCAACGTAGGCAATGTCTTTATTTTTAGCAGCCTGCCACCCTTCCCACACTGCACAGATGTCATCCCTCGTCAACTCCACTGTACACTCAGTGATATAATGCCCAATGTCGAGCACGAGAGGGTGTCTGCATCGATGCTGGCTCTTCCTGGTCTGTATTGGATGTCAAATCGAAAATCGGCAAGTTCACCCACCCACCTGTGGCCTACCGCATTCAGTTTTGCTGTGTCCATCACATACATCAGGGGATTATAGTCTGTATAGACTGTGAAATGTGGTGCATAGTACAAATAATCCCTGAACTTTTCACATACCGCCCACTTCGGGGCAAGAAACTCCAGTTTCCCCGAATGGAGGTT